GACTAGTTGTCGATTGCTCGTACTAAAAGATAAGATAGCGATAGACGACCAGCGATAAGCAATGTTCATCAACTTTTTTCATTTGTTTTTGCTGGTACAGTTATGTTAAAATCATGTTAAGCATGTCAGTTGTTACAAGATTATGACAAATAAGGCCTATCAATGGAAACGTTTCAAATGTTAAGATACTAATAGTTCGATGGAAGGGAAGACATAATTTTCCTTCTTGAAGTCCGAAACGGGTACGTGATTAATGAAAAGAAATTTAAAAGAAATCTAATGACAGGATGGACAATGAATATATAAAATAAAAACCCCTATCATCTCTTAACCTTGTTATTATTGATGTACATCTACGCTTCTAAATCTGTTCGCGAACTTGGTGTTAAAGATAAAGTTTAGTTCTGGTCATGCGATTGCATTGTGAAAGAAATGTTGTGGAATCGGTCAGAAACGGTTTATCATCTTTCATATAAGTATTGGTGTGTACTGCCAGGTTCTGGAATCATCAAAATGATAAGAAATTCGGCCCAATCTTGGTAAAGGTAACGAGCACTGTACACAGAAAGCTGAATATGGGACTAAATAGACATGTGGCATAAAAATGAGGCCCACATTTTAAAGCTATTACATGTCATATTTCGGTTTATACACGACGCTTTATACAGCGTTCACACTATAAAATATTATATCCTGCATCAAAAGAATTTGGGGTTTTGATTGGTTGAGAGCTCGTCACGTGACAAGAAATATTCGAACTATTTTGAGGTTGCTCTGAAAAAAATACTATTTTGGAGTACTACTTGGGAGCTGAAACGTAAATCTGAAAAATTGTAATTGTTGATGAAGGCTACAAAACAAATATACCATGCATTCTTTTCGATGTACTGGTTAAAACTATGGGCCTCGGTAACTCCAGTAGTACCATTTGCTTCGGGGCAGCGCCCCTCAGCAAATATTGGAGTCACCTCTTGCGTATAGTTTTAACCAGAACCTATCAAGACACTGTATATTCGTATACTATTCCGTATTCTGGAGCAAAATATAACAAACATCTTTTCCAGTCAAATGTGTTAGACACATATGCCCATTGTGTAAAATAAAGGATTCTTACTCTCTGACATTAACAATTATCACATCATGCAGTTAAACAGGCACCTAAAGTCCGTTTACCTATGACACTCGACCTTTTAGTCATCTTGATTAACATCATATCGAATCATCGGCGTTGTTTGTTTTGTTGTTTTATTGTTGTTTCTTTGCCGCATGTATGTTAGAACAAACACAGCGCAGTTCTTTACATGATTTAATCGGATGGCAATGAAAATGGCATTATACCTGTTCACCTTATATAAAAACAGATATTTTCCTTTTAACGTAAAAAACACCTTTCGACTTCATAATGACATCGACAATAATGCGCAGCAGATGAGCTTAATTCGTAGAACGCGTAAAGATTTACTATTTTCCCCGAGGTCTGTGGTTGTTAATTAATTGTTAACCAAATATTCATTTACATTTGATATACACATGCACCTTTTGATATCAAGATTGGATTGTCAGCATCCAATATCTGATATGTTCAATGCTCCAGAGCATGTTATTTTTATTCGCGTCTATATATCTACTCCCCGCCCCCACCCCCCGTGAACGGAGGGGTACCTTGCGTGTTACCAAAATGTCCGGTAAAGAGGTACTTTTCACGCACCAAAGTCCGGCTCGTAGTACACAAATATCCGGCCCGTATTGACTTTACACACCGGACTTAGAGGGGTGCTTTCAAAAGGAGGGAACATATTATGCGTACCCTAAATAACATATGAGTGGGGGGGATCTACTCTCTCATGTTTGAATTAAATTCGTAAGACATAATTTACCATTGCACCATGCCAATTCAGAGATTACAGCGATTATCATCTATAGTATACTCAATATTCATTAATCAACCCGCAGAGAAGCTCCCATTAAAACAGTGAAAGAAGCTCCTTGCAGTTTTTACCAACAGCTATTATTGGCTCCCAGTTAAATTCCGTATCCAGTTCAAATTTATTTTGCTAACCTTCAAATCACTCAATGGTCTGTCTCCAGAATATCTCTCTAATCTTGTCTTAAAATATGTTCCATCAAGTCTTTTGCGTTCTGCATCTGAAAACCTCCTCATAGCTATTAAGAGAGGCAAAACAAAAGCATATGGTGATGGGCTTTCACTCATATAGCACAATTTTTTATGGAATTCTCTCCCATACTCATTACGGTGAACATGTATATCCAATATTGGAACATTCATTTCTAAACTCAAATCTCATATTTCCAAATTAGCACATCAATAGTATTAAAGAATATGTAATGCTGTAATTTGTCTCTTTGTAAGCACTTCATTGTGTTCTATATATGTTTATGTTTCAGCTTCCTTTTATGATCTTGTTATACTTTATCCATGTATATTGTAAAGCGCATGTCAACAGCCATGAAATGCGCTATAATAGAACAAAGTATTACTATTATTATTATTATTATTATTATTATTATTATTATTATTATTATTATTATTATTATATCATACGTCTAGCTCTTTGGGTTATTTCCATCATGGCAATGGTGCTCGAACACATTTCTAAACACATAACCAGACTTATCGAAACGTTACGGCTGTCAAGTATCATCAAGCAAAAATGACAGACTAGTAGTTTTCTGTACTGAGTTTCGGTTTTAGCAAATGACATTGGACAAAAATTGTTTAAGACTGTGTAACAATACAATTGCTTCCCGATGATTTGCTCGTTTTTTTCAACTCCAAACTACTTAATTCAACGGATTCTTTAAGGGAATATCAGTTAAACTAATCCGAATTCTTTAGTACGTGGATATTAGATTTGAAATCTTTCTAGATTATTATGTTATATTCAACATAATTCATCGGTATCATAAATCATTTTCCGCCATATCTTGCTCAGTCTCAACTTTGTATGCTGTCAATCCATAAACATTATCGAAGTCCTAAGACTAGTGACAAGATCGCTCTTATTTTATCGAAAATCTCTAAAGAAAACCATTCTTTTCTTTTTTCTGAAGCAACCCTTCATAATGGTTACTCCATATTGGGCATAGTTACAGCTATCCTACCTCCCCATATGTACTTTGTTTTATCTACTTCATCGGCATTTAAACATACCTTGAATATTAAAGCAGTCAGGGAACTTTGCTTGATCGAATAAAGCATTAAAGACAGCTTGCTGGTCTAATGCGGGAACTTTCTCAAATTAGTATGTAGTAATCTCATAGGAACTCGTTTAATGACTGATTTTTTTAAATATTTATAGAGCGCATTAAATATAAGGTTCTCTACACGCTGTACAAGCATGAATGACAAGATAAATATAATCACATCAAATAAATCAACAAAGAGAAGTATACAAATCGTATAACTACTAAAATGATTAACTTAACATAGTAACTAACATAATGGACAGATAGCTAATATCGTCAAAAAAATAACGTAAGTAATGACAAAATACAGTTTAAGATAATGAATTGAGGTCAAAGAGATGCGTTTTCAGTACATATTTGGACGGTGCAGAAGTTGGGGCCTGTCGTATGAATTTGGGAAGATTGTTCCAAAGGTTTGGTCCAGCAACTCCCCTCATAGAATATTATATTGGTTTTCGGTACACAAAGCAATGCTTGAACGGAGGGTTCGGGGTCGGTGGCATTGTTTGATCAAATCAGTCAGGTATGAAGGAGAAGAACCGCGTTGCACGGTGCTTTTCATGTATTTAATAAAAGTTTGAACATGATGCGCTTATCTATAGGAAGCCAGTGTAGTTCAATTTCTTGAGAGTATTAGTTATATATACTCGGATGCTGACAGTGCGATTCACTTCAATGCACTCGTTTATCATGGCGTCGTTCGCAAATGAACCTTGATACTAATTTGTTTATATAATATTTCGAAATGACATCATTTTTATATTATCTGATTATGTAAATAAAATGGTTCATTCATATCTGATTCATACAATGTGTGTCATCGCCATATGACAATCAGTTTGTAATGGCTTTAGTTCGGGTAGTGATAATGTAACACAGGTATTCAGGAACGAATCGATTAACATTGGTCGTGTACTTATATGACCAATGTTTGCCTATTCCTTAGAATGAGTTCAAATGTATTATACAACATGTGAACTATAAATATAAACTGAAACTGAAATGAAACTAATATTTTTACATTAAACAATACTTTTATCTTTAGTAGGCCTTATACGGATGTCAAGACTTTAAACTTCGTAACGTTGTAACAGTACTGTTCTCACTCATTATGACGTATACATGAATATAACTAAGCTGTTTTTTCACAACATTTTTTTTCCCCCCCGCCGACATATACATTTTGTTTTCCCCTTTCCTTCCTTCATCCTTTTTTTCATTTCGAAATATGAATACTTAGCGAGGCACCGGTCTTTGCATAGGGCTCTGTACCTCATTTAACTTTGAAGTTCTCTGTGTGATTCCACTGCCTGAACACCCGGGAAATGCTATGCTCTCCGATTTGTACTTCTTGTTATCAAATAACATTCTAATTATACTTTATTTTTTATTTGTATCATTTAAGAATTCCAGTAGAGATTCAGGGGAAAAATTAATATTAATTTTGGGGGGCTACTTTTCAAGTTTGCCTGCAGGAAAAGAACATTCTAAAATTTGTTTTGCATTGAACTCTATGCAAATTTATGAGGCTCTTTTCTGATTTTCGGGGGCTGAATCGCCCCGAGCCCCCGTGTATTTTTTTCACTGTAGAGATTTAGGATGTGCATGTATGCCTCACAGTTCCTGTTATGGTCAGAGCAGGGAAGGTGATGATTCCGACAATTACAAAACAAAACTAGTCTGATTAAGTAGACTAATTGTTCAATAAAACGTGCCGATTCATTACAATAAGCAGGGATATGAGTATACAGTATATAGTTACGTATAAGTACTATACGTACATGGTTATATATTGTGCATTGGATACCAACTTCAAAATGTATGCCTCTGTAGAGAAAATTTCTTCGTCTGTCTTCTATTATGGCTTCACGCCATTTATCTTAGCAGGATTGATTGCTTTCTTGCTTTCATTTATTCTGGTTCGATCGGGTAAGAAGAAATACAAGAATCTACCTCCCCGTGGCCCTATGGAATGGCCGGTGTTAGGCGGCCTACCAAGTCTGTCAGGCAAAGATATGCCACACGTTATCATAGCTGACATGGCCAAGAAGTACGGACCAATCTTCGGTATGAAAATGGGATCGTTCTATGCGGTAATACTCAGTGACTATTCTCTCGTCAGGCAAGCCTTCGCGAAATCAAACGATGAATTTAGTGACAGACCGAAGATCACCATGATTGAAAATATTGTCCAAGGAAAAGGTAAAAAGATTAGTCTCATTCCAATATTTAAGACTAATTATAGAATAAAACCATTACGGCTCTCTAACTCTTTCATAAAACAAAAATCAACTGCCATATAGATCTAGGCAAATCCACTCACGGTCAATAAAATCGTTTAACTATTATCGTACATATATTTTCTTATTGATAATAGTTTTTACGAAACAATGACCCTAAACAATGTCAGTGATCCAAAATTATTATATACTTGAAATCAGGAAGTAACAAAATTTTTGGTAAAAGACGACGATTTGTGGCATGAGAATACGGAACAAATCCAAAAGAAGAAGAAAGAAAGAGAATTAGAAGAAGAAGGAGTGAAAAGAATGGTTAAAACGAGAGAAGAAAAAATGATAGGGAAAAGGGAAACGGACAAAAATAACAGCCAGCCGAAGGAGATTTTAGTATTATAATTTAATTTTTTCGTAATAGAATTTCCTTTAAATGGAAGAGTAAAGATAATATTTTGTGGAATCAATTATTACGGTGGACAAATAAATTTATTGAATTGAGTTGGATTTAACTGAATTGAATTAAATTGATAGTAATTTACCACTTTACTTTATTGCTCAAAGAGTCAATCGGAAGTACATTCATTATAATATTCATTAATAATATCTAGTATTTGTGTAGCGCATATTACATTGATAACGTCTCTATCCGCTTCCATGCAAAGCGGAAATTATTACCACGGTTTTAGCATGGCTGCCATCAACCGTTCTCATTCCACTCAACAAGCGGATTGTCTAAAGTCCATTTTTGCCATTTACCTTGCATGTCTAGTATACTAATACATGCAACTAGCAGAAATCACTTTTCAAAGTCCATTCATTATTTTGTGGACAGTTGGACACAATCAATGATCATATCTGAAACAATCAATACAGCCCCAGAATTTAAAGCACTTAAAAGTTGCTTATGTTCGCAAAATAATTTCACCGAGTAAACTCGAAGAGATTTCTTTCTTTAAATTACTTGTTAACTAGAAACAGGAAATTCCATGTGCCTTTTATCATTCATTTATGGCATTTGACCCTACTATAAATGAGATGGTATTCAACTCAGAACCCGGGAAATTCATGAAAATTCATTGAGAGTATATTGTATGCATGGGGCTAATCATCGTCTTACTGCACTGTGAGCAGGTGCGTACGCATGGGGGGTGTTAACCCCGTCCCTTTTTTTAATTTAAAAAAAAATTATGCTAATGGATGACCTTAAAAAGGTGACCCCCCCCCCCCCCCCCCCCCCCCAACGGTACAAAATGTCGATCCGGCAAATTTTTGAGTTTTGGGACCAAAAAAAAATATATATATATATGTCCTCTTACCCGCCCCCCCCCCCCTCCCCCCTGCTTTTTCAGCGGCTGGCTGAGTCGTTGCAAAAATTTCGGCCCGATTTAAAAAAATTACCCCCCCCCCCCCCCCTCTTGAAAAAATCCTGCGTACGCTACTGACCGTACTGTGAGCCAGCGTAATACCAATGACTCTATACATTCATACAAACGAACTCAATGAAATGGACAGGAGTAAAATCCCAAACAAATTATGGATCATGAAACAGCATTGTTACATTGGCATGGTTAGTGCAAATCCGAGGTTTAACTAGTTCTGTCACGTATTTTTTTTCAGGTTTGATCGTGTCCTACTTTGGTCAGATGCAGACTGAGCACCGTCGCTTCTCACTCTCAGCTCTACGATCACTTGGTATGGGCAAGTTTAAAATGGAAGAAACTATCGTAGATGAAGCACGCCAGCTAGCGATGATCTTTACCAGCAGACAATCAAAGCCTTTTGTACCTTTTCATGATATTGTCGTAAGTGTTTCCAATATTATATGTTGGTTGAGTCTCGGTAAGCGCTTTGACTATAACGACGAGAATTTCAAAGCCATCCTCGCTTCTTTGTTCGAAAGCTTTGAGATTGCAGAAATTGCAGGACTCTTCAATTTCCTTCCGTTCTTGAGATTTCTACCTGGGAGCGGTTTTAAACGAATGATAGCACTCCAACAAAACCATGATAGATTTTTGAAGCCACTGGTCTGGAAAATCCACGAGGAGCAGGAGAAAAGCCGTAGATCTCCCACGTGTTACGTGGAGATGTACACTGAACAGATGATAGAAGCAGAACGCGAGACTCCCGTGAACACACGTTTACTAAAGAAATATGTATCACGCAGTCGCTGATCTGTTTGCTGCTGGGACTGAGACAACTGCTACACAACCCTAAAGTGGGCCTTGATGTACATGATATTACATCAAGATGTTCAAGAAAAGATACATAAGGAACTAGATGATGTTGTTGGACGAAATCGGTTGCCAAGTCTTACAGATAGACCCAATTTGCCTTACACCGAAGCTACTTTGCTTGAGATACAACGTTTTGCTACAATTACACCTCTTGGCGTCCCACATGCACCTGTCCAAGATACTGTCCTCAATGGATACGACATCCCTAAAGGAACTGTGGTCTTACCGAACCTATGGGCCATTCATCATGAACCTGACCTATGGAAGAACCCTGATGAATTCAATCCAGCCAGGTTTCTCAACCCAGACACCAAACAAGTTGTTCAGAGGAGGAACTTATTCCATTCTCTATCGGTAAGGCTTAATTCTTGTCAGGGTATAATCTTCTGTCAGTTTGGAGGGTAAAACCCTTTTTGGTATTCATCAACTCTTTATATGCCACTCGAAGAACCACTTGTCCCCCATTGTATTTACCAAGAGATAGCTGCTTCAGAATTATAGTGCATTGTATGTGTCGATGAGGGTTCTAGGACACCTACCCCTGGACATCCACCCCGGATAACTACCCCCAGTCAACCGCCTTCCCGGACAACTACCTCCTGGGATTACTACCCCCCGGACAACTACCCCCTAGTAAAACTACCCTCAGACAACTACCCCCTATTACATCCATCCTCTAGGACAACTACCCCCCAGAGAACTACCCTAGGGATAGTTGTCTGTGGGTAGTGGTTAGTTGACTCGAAGATTGCCCAGCTGGAGGTGGATCCACTCTTGTAGACCGAGGATCTCCCTAGCAAGGGTTCAAGTAAACGCGTGACGCCCTTAATTGTAAGAGATGATCGTTTGCAATAACCTAGTCATTGGGATACGATTTAGCCTTAGGATTCCATGATTTCTATATTATTTCAATCGTAGCGTTGAACATTAAAGTAAAAATCTTCACAATGCAGTACAAAATTACAAGCCTCGGATGAATGCCTTAATATATTATGTTAACTTATAATAGACTGGTTATGAGTCTACACCAGATTGGAGATTCAAGATTCATTTATTTCACCCATCAATATATTTATTATTTAAATAAAATACTGAAGAATGCACAATTTTACAAGATTCATAATGATCATATAAATTATGAAACATAAAAGGTACATCGAAATAATGTAAAAACAAGGAATGTCAATGGGATCAGAATATGTTGGTGAAGCCATATCAAAAAATTAGTAAAACTCTTTGACCATCTAATCTGAAGCTCATTATCTTACTAACAACTTTTAACCCCATTCAATAATTTCACATACTTCAACCTTGTTTTTCTTGTCTGTTGTTCAGGTCGTCGCAGATGTCTGGGAGAACAGTTAGCCAAGGTGGAACTATTCATCTTCTTTACTCATCTCTTACATCGCTTTCAATTCACAACACCAGAGGGCGCACCTCCCTTAACAATGAAAGCAAGAAATGGAGCTACGCTCAACCCAGAAGAGTTTGAGATCTGTGCCTCTCTTATCGATGACGTCATGTAGCCTTTATATCTTGCGCACGTTAGAAATTACATCAATAATTCAATTTAATGTATAATAACGAGTTTGATTAACTTGGAACCTGTGATTAAGCAAGGCTACATGTCGGGTGCACACTAAACATGGACTGTTCTTTTTGAAAACATTTCAAACAGACTGGAAATAAAATCCTTTGATCTGTTGCCCCACGCCTATGGACTATACTTCTTGCATTTCTAAGAAAAAGAAAATAGATCTAGTCAATAGTAATCTGAAAACATACCTCTTCAAATGTTATTAATTTGCGATTGCCTAAGGGCAGCGCATTGAATCCTCTGGAAAATGCGCTATATAAATTTAATTATTAATATAATTACCATTACTTTAAAAGAAATCAATATTACTATGATTATTAATAGTAGTAGAAGTAGTAGTGTAAGTATCATTATCATTATTATTGTTGTTGTTGTTAGTATTAATATTTAGCAGTAGTATTATTTAATAGACTTTAACAAATGGAATATTGGTTTTAAACACATTGAAAGTGAAACACAACGTAGTATTCAATTCAATTTAATTCATTTATTTCCATTTCTCGTAAAAAATATTAAGTATACGTTGACAGATTTTGGAAGCGTTTTTAACAACCAGTAACAAGAACAAATTGTGCATAACTCTAACTGGGGGATATCGGGTATGATCTTCGGGAACGGGTGTGTCTGTTCCGTCAACAAGTTTGTACTGTTTATCTACCCATGCAATATATGACATACTGGAATTTGAGTTGAAATGTTTGATAATAGGACTTGGCTATTCAATGTTCGCTATTCAATGTTCGCTAGCCTCTTATCTTAAATAAATATTGTTGAAATTACTCGCATTTTCTATAATAAATGAAATTACTTGAAAAGTTTGATAATATTTATACTCGATCTTTCCATGCTTCTATGTATATTTCGCTTGTATCAAATATCTTTTTACATTTTACAATCCGCATTTTAAATTTCAAATTTTATGCTTCCATAATTACTTGTATTACATCTTTTTAAAATGTATAAATGTATATTGAATAGTGATAAGTTTTGTAGCAATCATGACATGGCAATTCAGATCACATGGTGTTCAAGTTTTTAATTCATGTGCTTATTTTGCCCCAATGTGCGAAGGTCGGGAAGGAGCTTACTTGTTTTGTTGTTGTTTATTTTTTTAAATATCCGACACTTCTTGACACAAGAGAAGTCCAGGGATGAGCGAGCAGACCGTTTAGTGTATGGGAGTGTGTATGTTGATTGGCTTATAATACAACATGTATTGCTGTATATTGCATAAGTGGAAATTCTTAGAGACAATCAATATTCTTTAGTCTATATTTCTTGTCTTGTATATAGTTTATGATTATTCCTTTATATTTCTATGTTATATGTCATATGGGTAGTCGAAGCATAATGATAGTGCAATAATTATAGGTGAATCACATGCAGATTTCAGTATTGATTGATAAGCTCGTTTTCCTAAAACGATATTTATACCTGAGATTATGTATGTGTTGTGTGCTGGAGAATACAACATATTTCTATGTTAGTATTATTATTTCTAAATCTGAGAGGATAATAGATTAGCCCGTTTAGATGAGATTGCCTAGGTACAATGAAGGTCTTATTTATGTTTAGGGTATAACGAATCACCATCAGAGGCGTCTCCAAGGGGGGGGGGGTGGGGGTGCGACAGCCGCCACCTGTCAGGATATTGTCGGTAAAATTGCGCTGCCGTCGGAAAAAAGAGAAAAGGGGGAGGGGAAAAAGAGAGGGAAGGGGAAACTCGGAAAAGAAAAAGAAAGGAAAAGAAAAGAAAGAAAGGAAAAGAAAGGAAAGGAAGGAAAGAAAAGAGAAGAAGAAAGAGAAAAAAGAAAAAGAGGGAGGAGAGGAAAAAAGGAAAAGAAAGAAAAGAAAGAAAAGGAAAAAAGAAGAAAAAAGAGTAAAGGGAAAGGAAAAAAAGGGGGTTGAAAGAGAGGAAAAGAGGGGAGGTAAGAGCCTGAGATAGGAGGAGTGGGAGTAAAAGAAAGAATGGGGTTGTTGGTGGAGTCGTCTCGTCGAGGGAGCAAGAAAGACACGGGTAAATATGTTGCTGTGTTGGGTCAGTTGTGTCGGTATTCTTGCTCAATCCTCGTGTTCTATATCAATGCAGAAGTTTGAAGTCGGTGAGATGTATATTGTCGGTCGGCCGACAAGTTTTTTTCCCTACGAACTGTGACTTTTTATCCGCTGTGACGACTTTGAGAGTGACTACAACTGCTATACTTGTATTTTCTCGAAGTTTCACTTTCCTATAATATCAGCTAAAGAAATCAGAGGTTTAAAATTTTCGGGGAAAATAAATTCAAACAAGGATAAAGAGTCAACAACGGTACGACAAATCGTCTTCCTTTCTCTATATTGTGATGAAACGCAAAAAATTACTCCCTTCGCGCGGAAGGGGGAAAACTTCATTTAAACGAGTCGAGAACGGTACAACGAAACGTCTGCTTTCTCTAATAATTTAAGGAATCTTCAAAGCTTCCGCGCTTCGCGCTAAAGGGGGAACTGAATTCAGACAATTAGGGCTTATTAAGAGTCGAAAACGGTACAACGAATCGTCTTCGTTCTCTAATAATTTAAGGAAACGTCGAAGCGAGAGGGGGAACTGAATTCAGACAAATAGGGCTTATTAATTAGAGTCGAGAACGGTACAAGGAATCGTCTTCTTTCTCAAATACTTTAAGGAAACGTCAAAGCGAGAGGGGGGAAATGAATTCAGACAAATGGGGCTTATTAGAGTCGAAAACGGCACGACGAATCGTCTTCCTTTCTCTATATTGTGATGAAACGCAAAAAAAATCCGCGCTTCTCGCGGAAGGGGAAAACTTCATTTAGACGAATCGAGAACAGTACAACGAATCGTCTTCTTTCTCTAATAATTTAAGGAAACGTCAAAGCTTCCGCGCTTCACGCGAGAGAGGGGAACTGAATTCACATAAATATGGTTTATTAAGAGTCGAAAGCGGTACAACGAATCGTCTTCTTTCTCTAATAATTTAATGAAACGTCAAAACTTCCGTGCTTCGCGCGGGAGGGGGAGAACTGAATTCAGATAAGGATTAAGAGTCGAGAACAGTACACCGAATCGTCTGCTTTTTCTCATCATTTAATGAAACGTCAAAGCTTCCGCGCTTTGCGCGGGAGGGGGAGAAACTGAATTCAGACAAGGATTAACAGTCGAGGACGGTACAGCAAATCGTCTTCTTTTCATAATAATTTAATGAAACGTTAAAGCTTTCGCGCTTCGCGCGGGAGGAAACTGAATGGATGAAGAGTCGAGCACGGTTCAACGAATCGTCTACTTTCTCTAATAATTTAATGAAACGCCAAATCTTCAGGGCTTCGCGCGGGAGGGGGAGACCTGAATTCAGATAAGGATTAAGAGTCGAGAACAGTACACCGAATCGTCTGCTTTTTCTCATCATTTAATGAAACGTCAAAGCTTCCGCGCTTTGCGCGGGAGGGGGAGAAACTGAATTCAGACAAGGATTAACAGTCGAGGACGGTACAGCTAATCGTCTTCTTTTCATAATAATTTAATGAAACGTTAAAGCTTTCGCGCTTCGTGCGGGAGGAAACTGAATGGATTAAGAGTCGAGCACGGTTCAACGAATCGTCTACTTTCTCTAATAATTTAATGAAACGCCAAATCTTCAGGGCTTCGCGCGGGAGGGGGAGACCTGAATTCAGATAAGGGTTAAGAGTCGAGAACAGTACACCGAATCGTCTGCTTTTTCTCATCATTTAATGAAACGTCAAAGCTTCCGCGCTTTGCGCGGGAGGGGGAGAAACTGAATTCAGACAAGGATTAACAGTCGAGGACGGTACAGCTAATCGTCTTCTTTTCATAATAATTTAATGAAACGTTAAAGCTTTCGCGCTTCGCGCGGGAGAAACTGAATGGATTAAGAGTCGAGCACGGTTCAACGAATCGTCTACTTTCTCTAATAATTTAATGAAACGCCAAATCTTCCGGGCTTCGCGCGGCAGGGGGAGAACTGAATTCAGATAAGGATTAAGAGTCGAGAACAGTGCACCGAATCGTCTGCTTTTTCTCATCATTTAATGAAACGTCAAAGCTTCCGCGCTTTGCGCGGGAGGGGGAGAAACTAAATTCAGACAAGGATTAACAGTCGAGGACGGTACAGCAAATCGTCTTCTTTTCATAATAATTTAATGAAACGTTAAAGCTTTCGCGCTTCGCGCGGGAGGAAACTGAATTAAGACAAGGATTAAGAGTCGAGAACAGTACACCGAATCGTCTGCTTTTTCTCATCATTTAATGAAACGTCAAAGCTTCCACGCTTCGCGCGGGGGGCTTTTACCCACACATCCGCGCTCTTTAAGTGATTCGCTTGCTCACTACCGCCCCTCCCTAAAATAAGATCCTAGCTCCGCGTCTGCATTAAAATATATAGCTATGAATGCTGTCTAAGTTGACGGAATAATTCGTATATATGTGTCGTCGTGGAAAATGACCAGTACTATAGATAGTCCATAGGTAAAACAATTTAGCCTTCGGCCCCGGGTTTATAGGGTTAAATTTGTAGATATTGGACATTTAAATTTGTCGGTTATTGGTGGCTAGTTTTGTAGGTAATCGTTGGCCTCTACACCCCCCCCCCCCCCCCCCCCACTGAAAAAGTTTAGCGACGCCCCTGATCACCATATTAGGTATGAATATGATGTGTATAAGAACAAAACATATATAACATTATCTGTATGTACTAAGTGTTTATTCGATTTGATAATGAAAATGTTCTTATAGTAATGTAGATGTTAGTTAAATAGAAACTCTGTTGGGTCATGCATTATAGTTCAAGGCATGCCCACATAGAGAATTTTGTTATGATAGGGGTCGGGGCCAAATGCAATGAATTATTGATAATTTATTGCATTTTCTTTCTTGTTTTTTTTTATTTTTGGGGACGGCGACGTACCCTAGCCCCCGCTGTTTACTCGTACCATGGGAATACTGCGGGGAGGGTGGACCGAATGGCGCATCGTGGTCGTAATGATTTTTTTTTTTGGGGGGGGGGAGGGGCAGGATGATGGGTCGCGTACATTATTGGGGCACGCCTTATTTCTTTATTTCTTCAGAAATGTACGTTTTCAATAAATGTTTTCTACAGATATTCGGGACCATGTGGCGACCCCCGCCCCCCCCCCCCCTCCCTGCGCCTACGCCACAGCCGTGGGGTGTTCCCTATCCATTATTTCGCTTTCTTATTATCATTTTGTTTATTACTAATTTAATTTTCATTTAATTGTTTATGAAAAGCGACCCTCAACCCATGTTATGAATAGCGGCCCTTAAACGCGAACCATCATCCCGGGCCAAATCACAAGACAAATTGTTAACTCACTCATGAGTCTTTGACGTCATTCAGGCGCGGATCCAGGATTGCTTGGGGGTGGGGGCCAAATTTGAAATTATGCGAGCCAAATATTGGTACGTAATGGTGACAAGCAGTAACGTAATAGGGGGTGGGTACAGGGACGGACGAGCTTCCCCCTCCCTCCTCCACGAAGCGCGGAAGCTTTGACGTTTCAATAAATTATTAGAGAAAGAAGACGATTCGTTGTACCATTCTCGTCTCTTAATCCTCGTCTAAATTCAGCCCCCCCCCCTCTCCTGCGCGAAGCGCGGAAGCTTTTACGTTTCATTAAATCATTAGAGAAAGAAGACGATTCGATGTACCGTTCTCGACTCTTATTTTAATCCTTCAAAAATCTTCTTTGTCTGCTCCTTTTTCTTCCTACGTTCTCTTCCTTTTCTCTCCTCTCTCTTATTTTTTTGTTTTTGGGCCAGCGTTTAAGGGAGGACCGCCCCCACCGCCCCACCTCGGCCCCGGAAGCTCAGGGGTTTAAGGCAATAAATCACCGTCAGATGAGCATCTAAGGGCCTGCCTTAGGGCCCTAGGTGGAATCCAGGGGCAGAGCCCCCGAAAGCTTAGGGGTTTTATAGGCATTTAATCACGGTAAGATGAGCATGTTTTGATATCTCATTATTTTGTGCCACTGGCAGTTAACCATTCTTTCTTTCTTGCTCTCTTTCTTTCTATTTCTCTTTAATATACTTTTTTTAAGTGTGTGTGGGGGGGGGGAGCTCGAGGCTCCCGATCCCCGCCGTTTCTCGCGCCCTGACATGTAGGCACCTCAAGAAGCATATTTCTTGCCTGGCTGTAAATTTAGGAATTTGTCATTTTCCAAGAAACGCATACAAAAATACAGGTAATTTACTAAAAAGTGAGGACAAATCTGGGAAAAATTATGTCATTTTAGCATTATTTGTAAACCACCGTTATTGATTTAGAAATAAACCATGTTTGAATTTTATTTCCCCCAAGCCGCCCCCCCCCCTATCAGTACACCAGTGCCCCCCCCCCCCCCCCCCCCCCCCCCCCCCCCTCTGTTACACCTTGTTGGCGGAAAAAATCGCGACTGATCTCCCCTACCTTCCTCTTTCTCTTTTTTTTTGTCTTTCATTTCTCTCCTCTTTACCTTTCCCTTCCCTTCCTTTTCTCTCTTATAGGTTGACCGGGGGGGTGGCAAGGGCCTTTCGGCCCCCATCCCGTTCCGCACGTTGTTGGCGGGATTAACAGCAATTGATCTTCCCTTTTTTCACCCTTTTCTTTTCTTCTTCTTCTTTTTTGTTCCCTTTCAGCTCTCCTCTTTCCCTTTTCCTTCCTTCTCTCTCTCTCTCTCTTTTTTTTTTTTTTGTTGGGGGGATATAGGGGGATATAGGGGGAACAGCCTGGGAGGCAAGGCCCTTTCGGCCCCGATCTCTCCCCCCCCCCCTTTTTATTTTCTTCTTCCTCTTCTTTCTTCCTTTCTCTCCTATTTCCCTTCTTTTCCTTCCTTCTCTCTCTCTCTCTCTCTCTCTCTCTCTCTCACTCGCTCTCTCTCTTTTCGCGGGGGGGGGGGGGGGGGCAAGGACCGCTCGGCCCCCTAGATCCGCGCCTGACGTCATTGCCTCGCTATCCTCTTATTGTTTTCTTTTTATTGGTAATATACATTTTTCACTTTCCCCCCGAGAATCTCATCTCCTAACTCCAGCATCCAAGTCATATTGATAATAATATGTTTTGTGTGGATGCACTAATAATCTATAATATAGAGTAATTTTTTCAGTTAAATCATGAAAAATGTGAATTCTGAAAATTTATTTATATAAAAGTCAATAATTATGAATATACAATATTCTTAAAATAGTTTTAATTCTTCAAAATTTATAAAAGATCTTGTGAAATGTCATGCCCGCAATACGATACAAATCATATAAAGGCATGGGAAATCAAGTTTTTGGGATAAAGAGGGAAATTAATGGGATACAAATATATAAAGCAATTGATAAATAGTAAGGCAATGGCGTCACAAACTGATTGAATCCAGTTAACTAATACCAGTTGGTTCAACTGTTTTTTCGACCTCGCGCGTATTTCTGAATTTCACTATTATTTTCGCTTAGCAGAAAACAATTAAGTCCGACAAATTTGCCTGAAAAAAAAGGAAAAACTATGTAAAAAAATATGTAAACTATGTAAATCTAAAAAGCATGTAACCCCAGGGACTTGCTTTTGCCCCCTCGACCTTTAGCCGTTTGAAAACGAACCTCCTAATTGAAAACTCTGGTTATACGTGTTCCGTAAATCGTGTATTGGACCAATTAGCATCAGTAAATTAGCAGCCTATACGTACGTACGTTACCAGCAAATTCGATCGTCGCGCACGCTGGCATAGCAACTTCATGACGCGCGCTAGCGCCAACGTAATAGGACTTATGCATATTTCCGTAGAAAAATACTCAAGAGCCGAGATTTGATCTTGCGAGACTTGTCTTCGGTCCCATGTATGGACAATTAGGTGAGTAGATTCGGGGGGGGGGGGGCTTAATATAATGGTGGTGGTGGTTATTTTACCTGAAAATTTCGTCTCTGGGTAATTTTACGTTCCTCTTGCCATTGGTAATATCAGATTTTTGAAATCTTACCGATTTTTTGAGCTAGCGAACTTTGGTCACACCACCATACAGTGCAGTGCAGGGATGGTATTGACTATTGGTAGGCCTAGCCTAGATCTATGGCTACACCGGTGGCTTGTGCCTGCATGTGTCTTGGATCTTGGATCTTGGATTCTTTTCCAAAATGACATTCTGATAATCAACATTTGTTCTGGTAAGATATGTATATACGCATAATACAACTGATCTTTATGATTTCTTAACGTGACATAGAATCTAGACTAGCTTCTTCTCCTCTGCAAACAAAACAGAAAACAAGGACAGGTTATTTAATAAACCATGCGACAAATAATCATTGTGATTCAAATTGATGCAAGGATTTTTTTGAATAAGCAGAAAGAAATTTTTATCACTGGTTCTTCTACATGCATACTTTATTGCCACGTACTGGATATGAAAGAGTATGCGGCAGGTCTGCAGCAGGTCTATATGAGATATGAATATTCATGATGAAGAGTATGCGGCAAGTCTGCGGCAAGTCTGCGGCAGACCTGCCGCAGACTCTTCATCATACTGAAAGAGTATGCGGCAAGTCTGCGGCAAGTCTGCGGCAAAACTAATTTGCATGTGAAAAAGATGACTGTCTGCGGCAGGTCTGCTGCAGATCTGCGGCAAGTTTGCCGCAGGAGTATGCGGCAGGCTCATTTCTTTCCTATGGGTACGTATATATTATACACACAGGCAAGTAACAGCTATGTAGCTTGTAAATTTGTAAGAGGGAAAATGCTGATTGAAATGATAATGATGAAATAGCAAATAATTGAGGAGTATCATAGGTACCAATTCAATGGATATTTGTTTAAAAAAGAGCCCCCGTCAGTAATAAAAGAGCCCCTGTGAGAAGGCTCACGGGGGCTCTTTTTTCGGGGGAAGAGCCCCCGTGGACAAAAAATTAATTTGAGCCCTGGTGTGAGACTCGTCAAATTTGTTTTGCGCGCGATGAGACCGGAGCTCATACATATTTATATAATGATGTCGCAATACCTCTATTTGGGGCTGGAACAATGACATCTCTGTTCACAGTTTTCCTTCGCAATTTGAGATGGCTCTAGCTATGGGCTCAAACCAACGCGGGATTGACAAAAACATTGTACTCTATCTACCTTCGAATGTGCAGTTTGTAAAAATCTGCAATTAAAAAGATGTAATCTTTTTTCTTTATATTTTCTAGTTGTTAAAAGTGACATTTGTGCACGTCTGAGATGTTAATGGGCAATTCCACGGTAACGGAAGGACACTCAGACAAGATTTTTGAACTTCAGGTTCATACTAAAAGAAATGTTTTATTAGTATGTATTAAACTATGGGGAACAAAATGTGTTTCAGTCAAGTGGAAAGCTTCATCAACTTCACAAAGTTTGGATAAACACTAATTAACTGGAAAAACCATGTCCATTTTTATGTCCTTCCGTTACCGAGGTAATTAATATGCACATTCTTAAACTACTTAACTATAATGACAATTTTTGGGGGAGAATTAAAGGCACTTATATAGGTATTAGATTCTATATCTGTACTGTTTCACATCTTATACTAATAAAACAGTTCTTTTAGTATGAACCTGAAGTTCAAAAATCTTGTCTGAGTGTCCTTCCGTTACCGTGGAATTGCCCTAATCTCTATCAAAAGTTCTTTCATTTAAATTGGATTCCATATTTTTAGGGTCTACCTTCTGCCATTGAGAAGGATTTTAGTGAGCTAACCTCCGCGCCCTCTAGGACCCCTCTAGTTTCTCTTATGTGCGCGTTAAGTTCGTCTGCTAAAACAATTATTGGATTCAAAAACGTCAAAATCTGCAAGATCGTCAACAAATGGTGAAAGACCGTTACAGATCCGTGATTATAGATATGTTGTGGAGTGTGTAATTGTGTATTTGTTTTATATTTTATTCCATAGATAATTGTTTTCATTTTTTTTTACTTTTTTTTTCTTCTGGTAATTTTCTGACTTGGACGACGAGCGCACAAATCGTAGGCGTAGAAGCCTTACACCCAGGCATTGGCCTCCCTATTAAGAGTGATGTGGTTCATTAATTTAAATTAACAAACCCTCAAAATGTTATCATAATAATGCGCCCGGTAGACCTATTGGGTCAATTTCCAGTATTCAACAGCTGTAACAAACTCAAAATTAAATCAGGTAGGGTCTATACAGCCCCGGAAAGATCTCCAACTTAACTTAAAATTGGTCAGTATCACACAACACAAGTTTCTGCACTTCCCTGTTCTGTTAGTGTTAGCGCGTCAACATGCATAGATCTAGCCATATGTAAAAGCAGATTGTGAAACAGCTACTTGTGCTGGTGCAATGAATTTAGTAATAGTAGATCTATGTGTGTGAAGAGTAGATCTAGCTCTTACGTATTTGCTCTAGATCTATTGCAGAAAATTTGCAAATGACGCACCTACCGATGTGCAAGAGGTATTTATACATTAGGCCTACCCTTGGCCTTGCCAACGCACTGACATTGAGTGCTTTGTCGCGCAATTGTGTGAAAGTTGTGTGCAAATGCGCTTCGCTCCTTGACACCAGAGATACCACGCAATATCTTGTGACCAAATTCTAGGCAGCATGACAGAATTCTGGGCAGAAAACTGCTCCTTCTCTTGAAAATATTTCCCTTAGTATATCATATTTTAGGTGACTTTAAAAACCTGTTAGAGGACCAATTTTCTTTTCTTTTGATGGGTAGATTGCCAAATAAAAGAGGAATGTATTCAAAATATGAGTGATTTCCCCTTTGTGACCAAAAGTACTGGGCGCATTACCCTATGTACAGGTGTATGTGAGTTGTGACCTCCAATTTCAGTAAACGACTAACCTTGCAAACAACATATTTTGGAGTTCACTAGTGAATAGCCTTACAGTGGACTGTTCTTCTCATACAAAGCACTTTGAAATTAGGGAAGAATTTCTTTCCATTGTATTATACTATTATGGTAGACAGAAATAACCGTCTGGTATAGTTTATGAGCTGGGTCATTCTTAGTTTAATAAAACTGACATTTGTCAACCTTAATAGAGGCAGTCAGAAGAGCCAGATATAATCTTAGTGGAATAACCGTCGATATCAGAGACTGAAGCTTTCGGTCTACCATATGTGTTCCCGCAAAGCTGCATGAATGATTATGAACTAACATGCGATAGACTGTACATCACAAAAATGCTGACAAAAGGTTTTGATGTTGGTTCTGCTGCACGCGCAAAATTACTTGATATTGCGTGACAAAAAAACCCAAATAAGAAATCCAACCTCTGTACTGTAGTGTGGTGTTTTTTTTTAAACGCTCTGGCTGATACTCCACCAGTTTTTGCCGGTGTAAAAGCTTGCTCTCAATTAACTAATGAATTATTCAAGATTTTGTTGCAGAACAGGGACCAAACAAATACAAAAACAAGAATGATAAATCACTGACTGTTTATATGTTATAAGTCTTTCCAGTAGTGTAATTTGGTAGTTAGAAAAACAGATGGCTTTTCAAATTGATTTTTCTGCAGTGGACTAAATGAGCCTAAATTGTGCTGAACAGTCTTGAGATTTCTTTTCGACTTTGCCTATTTTTGAACTGTCCATCACTTGTCATGTACTTGGTTTGTTTTTTCAGATTGATATCGTTTGATCCCATAATCCAGACTGAAGATCATCATAAACCAGACTGAAGATCATCATAATCCAGACTGAAAATCATCATAATCCAGACTGAAGATCATCATAATCCAGACTGAAGATCATCATAATCCATACTGAAGATCATCATAACCCAGACTGAAGATCATCTTAATCCAGACTGAAGGTCATCATAATCCAGACTGAAGATCATCATAATCCATACTGAAGATCATCTTAATCCAGACTGAAGATCCAGACTGAAGATCATCATAATCCATACTGAAGATCATCTTAATCCAGACTGAAGATCATCATTATCCAGACTGAAGGTCATCATAATCCAGACTGAAAATCATAAGTATTAAAAGGAACATTGCCTTGTAATCCTGTCTGCTGTTACTATGGGTCTCTTGGATTATTTTGCAAGATTATTTGGGAGCAGCAAGAAGGAAGCCCAGGTCCTATGTGTAGGACTTGATAACAGTGGAAAGAGTACCATTATCAACCGTCTTAAGCCAGATGAGGTTAGTTTGTACACATCATATTTAGAACTAACAAAGGTCTCTTGGTAGCAAACGACCGGTTTAGTTGAGTTTTGCTGGTAGACTGAAGTTGGATTATGTGTTGTCATTTTAGCCAAGAATTAAAAACCTACTATCAAATATTTTACATTTATCTTTGTTGAATCTGTAATTGCAAGACTCAATTGAATTTAAAATTAAAGTCATTGTAATGCTGGTCAAAGAAAAATGCATATCAAGCAAAGATTTTGGAGAGAAGCATCTAAAACAGGAATTATTTTGGCAGGGCACTACTATATTTATTGCATAAATATTTTCAAATGGTGATTTCATCTTTCATGTGCAGTAGAAGATCTCTATCAATGTTACATGGACATCATCATGTTTGTTGCTCCAAGTCATCAACCCAATACCTCATGGAATTAAAAATGTGTTTTGAATATAGTAATGAACAAGTTTTATCTTTCTTTGTCATCTTAGTCGACATCGGAGGATATAGTGGCTACAGTAGGCTTCACAGTGGAGAGGTTTCAGACTCCTGGTGTACGATTCACTGTCTTTGATATGTCTGGTCAGGGAAGGTACAGAAACCTATGGGAACATTATTATAAGTAAGTATAGCTCCCTTACTTTCTTTTATCTCTATTTCCTTAATGTGTTGGCTCAGTCAGTAGAGCGTCCGCCTCACAACCGGGAGGTCGTGGGTTCGAACCCCGGCCGCGTCATACCAAAAGACGTTAAAAGATGGGAGTTGTTGCTACCTTGTTTGGTGTTCAACAATAAGGGATAGAGCAACGTCGATCTGGCGCTGCTCAGTGGCTGCCGGGCTCACGATCAATTGGGCAAAAAGAATTTCCGTTTCGGTTTAATAAAATTTGGAGTGGACTATTAGGCTATTATTATTATTATTATAATTATTATTATTATTATTATTATTATTATTATTATTATTATTATATCCCTGTATTCTGATGCAGGGTAATAATATGTTTGCAGGGTGCTCTCAGGGGGGCTCTGATAAGACATATTAATATTATTATTGTTAGTAGAAGTAGTAGTAGTAGTAGTAGTAATAGTAGTAGTAGTAGTGGTGCTGTTGTTGTTACCTTTATTAAAATTCTGATCTATCTTTGTCCTCATCCATTTTCCCCTGGCTCTCATGCTTTCACTCACATTGTCTCTGAGTATCACCATTTATCTGTCTATGAATGAAAATATCACTAATTTTGACTGAAAACGTCTCTGAATATATATCCATCTTTAACTCAAAATATCTCTGAATTCCTGTCTAATGTTGTCTCAATATTTTCTTTATGACAGGGATGCTCAAGCCATCATGTTTGTGATTGATAGCAGTGATAAGATGAGAGTAGTCGTGGCTAAAGAAGAGCTGGACATGCTTCTTGATCACCCAGGTAATTCATTCTACACTACCCTTGTAGTCGGTATTTAAACACTTCTTTCCACAATAGTTCCTTTTGCAGCGTAAATATGATTTATCGTAGCAAGTGCTGTGCAGTATGGCAGCCATCCAACACTCGCTGAGAAAGACAGAAAAATATCAATATTTTCAAGGAAAACTGATGTGTTGTGATGACCTGAAAATCAATATTTAGTAACTTTGCGTGAGTAAAATTACCAAAAATTTCAGAGAATCATGCATGCATGTGTCCGCGCAGTGTTGGCGCGTCTTTTTTTTTAGATTCATAGCGCCGCATAGGAAATTACTAATTTATTCCCCAAATTACTGATTTTGAGCCTTGTGATTACTGATTTTCTGTTCTGGAGGTTGGCAGCTCTGGTTATAGGTGGTATTAGTAGCCAAGTTACATAGTGTTTGACTAGGCTTTTAGTGAGGAATGAGTAGGAAAAAACAATCAGCTATCCAATCTGAAAATGATGCACATTTATATGCGTACGACTGTACGTAAGGTTGATAATATACATTAGGTACATTGTAAGTATGTGCGTGAAGCTGCTGGTAATGACAATGCTCAACTGCAGGAGCTAGTGTACATATATGCAGGCTGGAGTAGTTTATTCTTCCATGTAGTTGGTTGTACAGTCCGTTTCGCCCAAAGGCTCATTAGCAAGTGAAATTAGATTATAGGGTATGAAGATAGGCACTTGAATAAATGTACAGTAGTGGTTAGAACATAATAAGGTACTGGGCAATGAAAGATTTGACAATACCAAGTATGCAGTCAGATGAGTGCATGTACACAACTTGCTCTACATTCATTGAAGCACTTATTTTCATACTACATGGAAGAATAATCTACTCCAGCCTACTAGCTTGCAGATGTTTGTTTCAATTTTTTTCTTTTTCTGGGGGATCCACAAACCACAAGCACTGCTTTTTAGTGGACCCCCCCCCCCCCCCCCCCCATTTCCTCAGAAATTAAGAATTTCTTGTAATCATTTTATTATGTGCAAAATGTATTTGTATAGTTTCCCTTTCTGTTGGAAATGAAATAAATATGAATATGAATGTAAATGAATGGACCATGGTCAATTTATATCTTAGTCTTGGTAACAATACTGTACAACTCTAGCCTTAACATATACCTAAAAAGAAGCAAGGTTTGAGCATATTTTGCCACAGCAAATCTAGATGCTTATGCAAAGATAATTGTCTCCTGGTATTTACTTTTATAATTCAGACATTGATTTTGATTGATTGTACCTAGTAACTAAGACTCTCCATTGTCTCTTGCAGATATCAGGGTACGTACAATACCCGTCCTATTCTTTGCCAACAAGATGGATCTTCGAGAGTCTCTGACTTCTGTTCAGTGTTCTAGGCTACTGGAACTGGAGAAGATCAAGAATAAACAATGGCACATATGTGCTAGCAATGCATTGACTGGAGAGGGATTACATGAAGGTGTTCAATGGCTATCAGGTATGTAGCTTGATATCCATAATAAAGCCCTGTGACAAGCTGTTATCAAGTAATTACAGGACATTATCGTGTCATCATGTGTAAGATGGGGTATCTCTCTCTCCTCCCCCTCCCCCCCCCCCCTCTCCCCCCTTTCCCCCCCCCCCCTCCCCACCTCTCTCTTCTCCTCCCCCCTCCCCCTCTCTCTCTAACTCTCTACTCTCTCAATCACTTGTTGTCTGTCTTGCTCCTTTCTTTAGGGTACGATTCAGTAACCATTTGCTTTTCCAAAAATTGATGGACAAGGGAGCATAGATAATGATAATAATATTCCTCTTATATAGCGGGATGAAGGAATCGAGATATGCCTTTGTACGATGCAAAAATGCTAATCCCTTAAGCTTATGTTCAATTTCAAGATTGCAAAGATGATATATTAATTCTCTCTTATAATCTTCTCTTAATTCTCCCATTTACTCTACAGATCAAATAAAATTGTAATTGATAGCCATGCGGCTGAATAGACTGATTGAGACCTTTGTGTACCCTAAGAACACACTGTGTAGTGAACAGCTACAGGAATCGATTCTCTCAAGGACTTTTGTAGGAGATCATTGTGCACTGACTCAATCATCAAGCCAAGCCTAGGAATGAATATAGACTGATGTGAACTTATCTTGGATAGAGGAATGTGATGGAAAGCAAACACCAGGAATGGCAACGCTGCCCCTGGTGAGAGGGTGTCGCTTTAAATGTTATTCAGTGGAGAGTCAATCTAATTGACTAATCATGGATTTTCTGCTCCATAATAATTTCACAGCACATGATCATGCATTGTTTTTTTAATGTCTTTTTGTACTAAAGCTAAATCACATGAGGCTGATTAGACCTCATCAATAACGTAACATTAAATATTTCCCAAATTATATCATGAAATTTGTGATATTTACAAGCCATTGAATACATGTAAGCTCAATCCAACAATATAACAGAGCAATACCAACAATAAATCAGCGCATACAGTTAACATGTAAATATTCACACCCTTGTATATTTGATGTTTGTTGTGTTTTTCGTAACTCAAGCATGAAGAACCAGTGGACTGGTTGAATTATAGGGCTGTTGTGGAATACTTTTAGATGTAAGGTTTGAAATGTCACATTCTCAAGAAACACAAATCGGGACAAGTTTATATTTCACATACTTAATAAATTACAAAGCTAAAGCTTGGTAAGTTTTCTTTGAGATCCATGTTCTATAATTGGAAGAGAAGCGGTTCAATGTAGAGGTGTGGTTTAAGCACTTGACTTGAAATGCAAAGGTTGTGGGTTCGATACCCGACACTGCACTAGTGTCCTGTGGCAAGGCATTAATCTACATTTGCCATTCCTTACCCAAGAGAGAGATTATGGGGACCTGTTAGTATGACGAAAGCCTTTGTGTTGGTAATTGTCATATGCCCTCACGGTGACTATATATATATGGTAGGAATATTCCCCAGGGGGTGGATATGGTGCCAATGTGCTTAGAGATGGTATTTTGTATTAAGGGCTATATAAATCAAGATATGTATTATTATTGTTATTATTATCAATAGCAGATATAATATCTATTTTCCCAACATAGAAATTTCATTGCTAGATTTAACTCCTGATATCCTCCTATCACATCACAAGTGTTTCTATCTGTATTGTCTTGAGTGAAATCACCAAAAAGATTACTTTATTTAATAACCACAAACAAGATTGATATTTTATGAATGAAAATGCCTTGGAACACTACTGCACCTTGTGTTTTAATACATTATGATTGTAAAGATTTAAACATACGCTATATTTTGATTTCATAAGCCCAAAGACAATGACCACATACATGACTGATGTGGTATTGGTACGAGGTCATCTTGTTGTGCAGTTGTTTTTGTTTAATGTTTAGTAGGACGAGGGGCTGTATTTCCAGATACATAACAAAAGCAAAGCCGTCACGTTGACCGTTAGATTTTAGGAAAATAAACATCAAATAGCACAAAGAGCATATATGTCTTGAAAGATTTATGAAGCCATTCTTGTTAACTTCTTCAAATTACAGTTTGAAATGCGTTCATTCATCAAGAATGTCTACGCCTTTAACTTCTTTTTAATTATTATGCTTGATATAATACATCTGTACCGGTAGTTTTATGCTCTTCATAAATTGTGTAGATATTTATACATACATTGTATATTTTGTTTAATTTGGGGAGAGGAGTAAGATTTTCGATGCGCTGGTCCATAGCAGGCCAGGACCAGTATTCAAGTCAATACTCGGTATTCAGCTTAGGTTAATACTTAGCCAGCTTTGGTATTCGGTTGCAGATTTTGTGTGTGTGTATACATGTAATATATCATTTGAATGGTATGGGATGGTTATAAGTTGTAGGTTAATGAACTTTTAGATGTTACAGTTGATGATAAATTTTCATTTGAAGAAAAAAAGTTGTGGTAGTTTAGCAGGGACAATCATTGCTTCATCACTCAGATTTGAATATATGCAATAGGTCTATTCCCAGCGTTACAGAATGATATTTTTAGAAAATATTATAAACATCTTAATAAAAATGTGCATATTAATGATATCATATATATACTGATATGAGGTACTTTTGCAACAGTAAAGTTTCTCATCCACCATTCATCCAATTTACAGAAAATATTGTATTTTAGCTTTGTTACGTAATGACCTAAAACTGACCTTCTATATCATTCCATCACAAAGTACATATAACATTCAATATTTCACAAATTTGTTGAATGGTTGACCAGGATGTCGTGGTAATACAGTGGAAACTCATTATAATAAGGTCATTGGGAACAAGGAAATTACCTTGTTATATCAGGGAAAAACAAACGAGAATATAAAGAGCTGGGACCAGCAAAATCACCTTGTTAAAGGTGCCATTTGCAGATGAAAAAAATGAAAAGGTAAATTCCAACTGCATTTGAAAGACTATACTAATTTAGAACTTCCCTCAAATCATAAGGGCTTGAAAATAGCTTTTAGTGGGAAAATAACAACCATTGGTTGTTTAATACACTTAGGTGATTGCAATCACTTAAGTAATAGTCTGATTTTCAGACCCTTGTACCGAATGGTCGTATGTTTTGTGCTGCACAAAGTTTGAATCAGTTTAATTTTTAGCCATTACAAGAAGTGGGTTATTGATGTAGACGAATTCTCATGTACCTGTTACAGCTCATTTTATGTATGTTACCAAAGAAAAAAAAGTTGTCAATCAGTCACTCAATAGTGTCTGATAGTGAAATCTACTGAGAGGATAAACAGGTTTCCTTGCATAATTTGAATATTAGGACACTGCTAATGTTTACATTACACAGATTGGACATACGGATACATGACATATTCATAATTCCTGCCAAGTTGTACAGAATTTGATGTTGGCTGCAAATGGGACATATACCTTTAAAACAGATACCTAGTTATATCAGATTTTGTTATACCAAGGTTTCACTGTATTCTGTATTCAAAATTGAAAATGATCTGGAAAGGTAATTCCGTAACTCTTGGAGTTGACCAGTACAAGCTCTAGATCAATCTACACATTAGTATATGACTGCCTATATTGTTCATAGTGCACATTTGTTGTTTAAGTAGATGATTCATGAGAGATGATATGATGTTGAGTTACATCATCTGCTTCTGATTGTTCAGATAAACCCACCTTTAACTCTTACTATAGATGCCAAGGGGCTTTACTTGTTTCAAAATCTTACCCAAACATGAACAATACTTACTGATTTAAACACCTGTACTTCTTTAACCATGACTTGTATCACAAACATAATGACACCTATTAAACCAGATAAACTGAAGGGCAAATTCAATACCCATTTGTACATCATGTTTGGATTACGTCATTGTCATGTTCACACAGTTCAATAGGTGACACACAAGGCTATTGAAATCGATGTTGGTTGATTTGTCTAAATTAGTTGCGATCGTGCTAAGAAATTGCTTTGTTAAAAAATGTATGTAATTTATTATCCTTTCTCATGACCCAAAACATATTTAATTTCATAAATAAAATTATTGTAAAATATAAGTGAAATTCCTTGTAATCCTTCACGTATTTGTTTCTCACTCATTTAGCATTGTTTGATTCACTAAAGTTCTTTGGCAAGACATTAATCTATATTTGCCACACTTGACCCAGAGGAAGTAAATGGGTACCTGGCAGGAATTCATTCCTTGAAATGCTAGAGTACCATAATGGCAGCTATGCTAAGGCTGGATAATAATTTCTGGATAATAATTTACGAGCGCCAAAAGTGCCAAGACTCACACACATGAGAGGTACCCACTATTATTATATAGATTATTATTCATGCCAATGATGTTTCACGACCAATATATCTGAGAACCAAAAAATAATACTAAATAGATGGATTGTATGATAATAGTATTGAGTTGCCCTAGATTAAGTGCCCTAGTTTTTCCTCTAATTTCGTTTAAACGTTGCACACTTTCTTGTCCTTCCCATTATAGTACAGCCTAGCTCTTTAGCTTTTTTGATGATCGGGGCTGAACCTTGTACTTTCAGCTTTCATTATGGTCTAGCTGTTTTATCAATTAACTTTTATATGGTGTGTGTGATATCTAAGCCTCTCAATAACATACTGAAACTCTGGTTTTAGCATTCGTATCTGTCTTGTTACTATATTATCATATTTTACGTTGATATCGTTGCAGAGCGTTTGACTTGGCCCCATGTTCAGGTGTACGGTCCATGATCAATAATCATAACCAATAGGGCACCACTGTAAAGGGGAATCAACAGGCTTTTGAACGATACCAACTTCAAGTATGATAATAAACTAACAAGAGAGATATCAATGCTAAACCTTGAGTTGCAGAACTTTTTTTAGGAGTTTATGTAAGAGCAAGATATTTATAAAGACGTAAATGGTTTTGTCAGCATGTTTGTGAATTTGTTTCAGAGTAGAAACTTATATTTCGATATATTTAATTACTATTATAAGCTGTCAATAATGTTGATATAATAATGATAAATGTTATTTGGCACTTAATATGTTGTATCTTTAGTAGGGTACAATATGAACGAACGTCAATCATTTTGATATCACTGCATATTCTTGTTCTCCATCTATGGTTTGGTTTGTTGTTTTTGTTTTACCCGACTGCTAAGAAAGCATGTAGGTATCCAGAGGACCGACAGCTATAAGTATTAAAGCCTTACCAAAGGGAATGATCACATTGGCTTGAAATCAAACCCAGGACCATGCACTGCTCTACCACAGAGCCCTCTTCTTTGGATAGGGGTATTGTGATGTTTTAAACAGCATACAATTCTTTAATGTAATTGAAATAGAGAAGTTTTATTTCAATTTATATTTGTTTTCGGCGTTGAGGTCCGTGACATAGGCCGGAAATTACAAGTGGGATTCATGGCGCCTTCCAAAGTTCTGAATGATAATCCTGTTATGAAGTCAATTGTAACTATAAAGGCCTTGGAAGCCATCCAATGTTACACTAGGTTCTAAAGTGTACCATTCACATAAACATGACTTTCAAGAATTCGTGTGTTTGACTTTTGTAACAAACTATGGGAGTGTATGGATATGATAGTAATGTCTATATTCTCAGTGGCGTACGCAGGATTTTTGCAAGGGGGGGGGGGGGTGTTTTAAAATTGTAAAATCGCGCGGGAAATTTCGCAATGACTCAGCCAGCCACTGAAAAAGCGGGGGCGGGGGTAAGAGTACATTTTTTTTTGTCCCGGAAATCTGGCCGACCGATATTTCGTTCGGTGGTAAGGTCACTTTTTGGGGGTCACCCTTTTGCACACAAAAAAATTGAGGGGGGTTCGACCCCCCCCCCCCCCCCCCTCCCTGCGTACGCGCCTGCCTATTTTTATTGTACGGTATTACTTTCTGCTTCAGGCAAAAGTGCTGTAATTATAGTTCAGTGGGCAGTGTTGGATCTACTAATTTATTGATAAAAGTTTATCGGAATAATAGAATTAAATTTTGTAGAAAAGTTTGGCAAATATCTGTTTTTGTTTATTGTTGTTTTTGCTTTTTGTGTCTAACGTGGTTATTTTGTTACTAATGTAACCATGTAAAACACGGCTTTATAGACGACGTCTAAATGCGCCCTTCGCGTATAAATTTCCCCACTTTTGAGTCAAATGAGAGAGAGAGACATAGAGAGAGAGGGGGAGGGAGAGAGAGAGGGGGGGAGAGAGAGGGGGGGAGGGAGGGAGAGAGAGAGGGGGAGGGAGGGAGAGAGAGAGAGAGGAAGACACACCGGGCGGCGTCTTTCACTTCCAGAGATGTTGTCTCGCATGAAATATGTTTATAGTATTTTATTCGTTTGTCAAATATTAGTATTTGAGTTGTCAATCCTAAGGATCACCTCGACTGTAAATAGTGATAACCTTGTACCCATATCAAATAGTCAAATGTACGTAATTGCGAGCGAGAATCTTTTACGACGTGCATGGGGTCTGGCAAATTTTGAACCTTCAGATGCTCTATGGTAAATTATAAGTATTTCTGAATGAGTAAACTGAACATTAATTTTATTTGATTTTTTTTTTGAAGGGAAAGGTGTTGCGCGAGCGCCCCACGCATCTTGGATCTGCCCCTGTGTTTTAATTATGACACTGTTCTAAAATAGTTATCATTTCTACGTGACATGAGATTAAAAACTCATAAAATATCATCACAGGAGAATAATGAGAATATCATGGAAGGATTCGAAAACTAACAGAAATATTGCATAAACAAAACATCCTGATGAATATCCTTATGAATCCTTATGAATAGGTAATTATAAAAAAGCGAAATATTTTGGTCAAGATTTACTAAAAATCATCAGAGATCTGTTCAAAGGAAAAATAGAAGTTACTCGACCAGGAGGGAAGCCGAGAAGCAACCACCTATTGGGAGGACGTAGGGACCTAGAGCGCAATT